GCCATTAGATAGTGGGGAGGTGGTGGGTGGACGGCCAGCGAGGAGGGGCGGCGGGCAGGCGGGCAGGACGGGGGATCTAGGGGAGGGCGGCGGGGACGACTGTGGTGATGACGAGCTAGAGCCAGTGGGTGGTGGGTCTGATAGTGCGGAGAGAGACGGTTCAGACAGAAAGAAGGATCAGTGAGGGTGACAGACACGTCGGGTGAGGGCTCCAGTTTTGTTTTGAGTAGTCATGCATGATTGACTAGCCAACACGAGTGGGAGGACACTTGCACTGTCGTTTTTCTGTGAACATGGCTCCGCAGCCTCGCTCCAGTCCGCAGATGCGTTTAACGGTCGCCATATCCTTGTTTTGGTGTTTCCGGGTTGTGAGGCTCCCTTTGTCGATCAAGGCCTTTCTATCGCTATTGTAGACCCATCTCCATGCTCTGAGGTCAGCCCTGCCACCGAAAAAGCCAACTATGCAAATCGAATGCATTCGTGTCCTCATCCCTCCTTCTCGTGCACACACGCGATGCTGCATCCTTTTCCACGGTTCGGTTCTGCAATGGCTGCAGAGGTAGATGGCCACTGGTAGTGCGCGTGAGGTTGCCGCCCTCAAGAGGGCATGCGGCGCGCTGCACCGGGAGGGCGACGAGCCGGGAGGACCAGCAGTAGTGGCGCGAGAGCAAGAAATGGACACGCTGGAGCAATTCCTTAAAGAGTAAGGAGCACACAGAGGGCAGCACAGCCCTTCTTGCCCTTCTGCCCCCCATTCCCCACGAATGCATCCATCTGTTTTGTTGATCAGGGCGTATCATCAGGATGGCCACGGCTGTCTGTATGTGTGGGGGCCGCCCGGCAGCGGCAAGACCCTCTGTGTGACGCGTGCGCTGGAGGGCGTGACGGGCAGCAAGCCCCGCCTCATCAACGCCATGGACGACGGAGCATTTACCGCCATACTCGCGCAGCTGGCAGACAAGGTCGACCTGAACCCCAAGGCCAAGCAGCAGCTCAAGGCCGCCAAGAACCAGAGCGCCATGTACGAGATACTCAAGCAGCGCATCCACGCAAAACGCAAGACATGGTACGGATGCGTGGTGGTCGGGATGTGGGTGGGGGGTATGTATGGGTGGGGCAAGAAAGGTAGGTAGCTTTGTCCACGTGCTTCTCCGCGTTGCATATGTGTGTGCAGTGTAGTGGTATTGGACGAGTTTGATCGGATCGCGACACATAAGGTGATGCGTTCCGGCACGGTGCAGCACAACCTCCACGCGCAGCTCTTCCGCCTCGCCACGGAACCCAAGTCCAAACTCATCCTCATCGGTACGCCACACGCATCGCAGATGCTATCAACGCACACAAACCAGCGAGACAATAGCGCACCTTCCTCCTCTCCTCTCTGTCTGCGGATGGATGGATGGATGGATGGATGCAGGCATTTCAAATGCCCCGCTGGGATCGCTCAAGGGGAAACTGGAACCACACCGTAACCATCACATCCACACATACAATACAGCAAATGACACAAATTCAGACACATCCTCTCCTTTCTCCCCTTTGTCTCCCCTCCCTCCCTCCCTCCCTCCCTCCTTCCCCCAGTGCACCCGCAGGTTCTCGAGTTCAAGGAGTACACATCCGCCCAGCTGCAGCAGATCGTAGAGAGCCGCATCGACAAACAGGCCCCGCCCCCTCCCCCACCCGGCCCCACCGACACACACATGGCGTCCGCCGACGACCCACCCGCCGGAGCCGGCCGCAGAAACAAGCGCAAGAACAGCCGCACCTCCACCAGTGCGTGTGAGGGCGACCAGGACGGCCCCAAGCGGCTCAAGGATGAGGCGGAGGTGGGGAGGGCCGTAAAGGCGACACACACGCACAACAAGGGGGAGGGGGAGGGGGAGGCGGACGGGGAGGGGGGTGAGTTTGGGGATCGGACGGGGGGTCGCGGTGGGGTTCGCATGACTGCCACGTCGCGGAACGCTGTGGCGTTGATGTGTAAGAAGGCGGCCATCCAGCACAAGGGCGACGCTCGCAAGACACTGGGCATGGCCAGGTTTGTCACACAGCACAGCACAGCAACGAGCGACACGGAGCACACAAGAGAGACGAGTGAATGCCGCCCATCCACTCTGATTCCTCTCTGTGTGTGTCTATCTCTGCGTGTGTCAGGACCGCCCTGGGTGCGCGCATCGAGAACTTGAGCCAGGAGTTGCAAGAGCCCAATCCCCGCTCGTCGTCGGTGGCCCTCGCCCCAGCCTCTCGTCGGTCATCGCGCCGCCGCGGCTCACCCGGACCCGCTGCAGCGGCTGCCGCGGCTGGTGCCAGTGCCGATCGTGGTGGTGCAGGTGCCACCATGCAGATCGGGATGGCTGAGGTGGCGGCAGCGGCGCAGGCGGGGCGTGAGAGCAGGGTGTCCATCCATGCCGTGGACAGAAGCATGCAGATCCTGCTGCTCGCCGCACTGCAGCTCTCCGAGAAGAGCAGCACGGGGACGTTCACCGGACAGCAGTTCATGGTCAGTCAGTCGGTACACACCACACATGCATGACGTGACAGGAGGGAGGGAGCGATCCCCAGGAGAGGAGAGGAGTGGGGCGAACGCATGGCGTCTGTGTGTGTGTGTGTGTGTGTGTCTGTGTGTGTTGTTCAGGACCAGCACAGGAGGGTGTTGCTTTGGTGCTGCATGGACGAGTACGGCGGGGCGGCCAACTTCTGGGACACGGTGCAGAACACACAGGGATACGGTTTCATCGGAGTGCACGGTGAGGATCCTTCACACATCCAATCCACGACCCGTCTGTGCGCATTGCATTTGTGTGTCTCCTTCCTGTGATTGTGTGTGTGTGTGTGTGTCTCTTACCATCCATCCATCCATCGATGTGTCAGGCCCGCGCAAGACCAAGACGGCACACTGCTACGGCCCCGGCGCTATCAAGAACCGATACAGCGTGCAGGACATCCCCGAGGGCGAAGTGGACTCCACCATTGCCCTGCTCAAGCAACTCATCTATCCGACAGACACGCAGATGACCGACTGATAAGCGTGCGTCGGGCAGAGATGAGTTCGTCTTTTTTCTGTGTTACTAGTAAGTCCGATTTGCTGGATGTGGGGTGGGCAACATGCGGTTCGGTGTCTGGATGTGTATCAGCCATATATGTGTCAGGCAGTGACAGTGACGTGCCGACAGACTATGAGGGCTCGCGTGCAGTACGTGTGTGAGGCTATCAGGCCAACGCTTTTCTTTTTTTCCACCCAAAAATTGATTCGACCAGAAATCGACAGCGACTGCATGTAGAGGAATGCTGCTGACTCCACCTGACGCAGCTCATCACACCGGTCATCGTGGTGCTTCTTTTGTCCTTCTGCAATGCTTGGATCTGAAGATATTCGAGTAGGGACATTTTCCCCTGCCCCACCGTTCGAAGGATGAATGGCACAAGCACCCCCATGTGATTTTGAATGCTTGTCTCAGACCGGTCCAGATGAGCATGACCCCCCCTTCTTCAATAAGGGACGCCCCCTTGTACACAACACGCCAAAAAACACTGCTGGGTGTGGGCAGATTTGCTGGCTCACTCACTACCAGCCAATCACCCGCCGGCGGCATTCCATCCTCTAGCTCCCGCCGAGACTCCCACCGAGACTCCCGGTGTCCCATACATACATGTGCCCAAAGAACAATGTGTAATGAGTCAATCGATGAGGTCTTCACGTCAAAGCATCCTATGGTGCTGTCAAGCTGTCCTGCCGTCTCACAAAGTCCTCCAAAGGCCTGCAACGCGCAGACGCGATCGCTGCGAGCTACAACCTCCTCCAGATCTCCTTCCCACTGGAATGGAGAGCCCCAGCTGCAACGAGAACCCTGAAACAACTGCCTCACTGCCGCCTCTGCCGCCGGCAGCAGGAGATCCGGAGAAGGAGGGCACCACTGCTAATGAGGCGTTCCTGACGGTGCGCCGAGAGCATCTGCGCAGCTCAGAGAGTGCGGCATCGGGCTACACGCCTGCCTCGAGGAGAGATACGCGCTATGACTGCGTTGCCACAGAGGAACGGAAATGCTCGGCACTGAGGAAAAAGTAAGTGAGAGATGCGGCAGCGGATGGGCACACAGATGTGTGTGTGCTGATGTGTCTGTCGGTGTGTGTCAGGTACCCGAATCTCCGTGTCATGAATCAGACGGCTCAGCTGCGAGCCATGCTCACCATCATCAGAGGTCGGCTCTGACACTCGTAGACAGACGGCTCACAGTTAGTTCTCTTGATGGCCAATGCTCAATGTATGCCTCTTGTTGTCTGTCTGCTGTCGTGTGTGCCTCCACTGGTCTGCAGACAGAGAAACACGGAAGGAGGAATTTGGTCAGCCGCCTGACACACACCACACAGCACGTTGGCAGGACCGCACTTGACACCTCCTGGTCGGCCTGTTTGCTTTCTGTGTTGCCTGTCTGCAGTTTTCTACGCAGACCGCATCATCCGTCTGCTCATCGAGGAGGCCCTGAACGGTATGGCTTAAGGCATGCCAGCTATATATGCTGCCTCGCTCTCGTGTGATCCTGTGTGTCTTGTGCGCATCCCTTGTGTGTTCCCCAATGCAATTAATGTAGAGCTGCCGTTCACCATCAAGACGGTGACGACGCCCACCGATTTGGTGTACGAGGGTGTGGGGTTCAGCGAGCGCATCTGCGGGGTGTCGGTCGTGCGAGCAGGGGAGAGCATGGAGAAGGGACTCACGGCGGTATGCTGACGACGCACCCACTCTCTCTCTCTCTCCAGACACATTTGATGGTTCTTTCGTTGCGTTGATTCCATCAGGTGTGTCGTGGCATTCGCATTGGGAAGATCCTCATACAGCGCGACGAGGAGACGACGGAAGCAGTGGTCAGCCAGATCAGTCCAGTTGAATGGCACTCACGCCTGCCTGTCTGCACTGATTGCACATGTGTGTGGTCATGCTGAATGCTCTGATCATGTAGCTGTTCTACTGCAAGTTGCCGCGCGACATCAACGAGAGGTTTGTGCTGCTGCTGGACCCCATGCTGGCGTCGGGGGGATCCATCTGCAAAGCCATCAGCGTCCTCGTCGACCACGGTCAAACACACTCACATCACAGACACACAAAGTAGCCAATGGATGGATGGATGGATGGATGGACGGCGTGCGTCTGTCTGTCTGTCGGTTTGTCAGGTGTGGCGTTGGAGAAGATCATCTTTGTGAATTTGGTGGCGGCACCCGAGGGCCTCCAGCAGGTGTTCTCCATCTACCCCAAAATCAAGATCGTATGCGCAGCGTAAGCCAAGCCCTGTCCAATCTCATTAGCTATCCATGTGTTCGCTCCACACGCATTCATTGCGATCAGCATCGACGAGGGTCTGAACGAGATGAAGTTTATCGTTCCCGGCATTGGCGACTTTGGCGACAGGTCAGTCAGTCAGTCAGCACACAGACAGGAAGAAATCACCCACAGCCGCCCGCACAACCGCATCTGACTGACGTGGCCATGCCATTCAGGTATTTCGGCACGAATGAGTACAACTACGTGTATCGGTCCATCAGCCCCATGACGGTCGCCCAGCAGGCTTCACCCGCACACCAGCTGCAGCCGCCCGCCCACCACGCCATGAGCAGCTCTAGCGCAGACTCAGAATAGCTGGACAGACAGAGAGGGGGGCGTTAAGGTCGGTTGTCTACCCGCTGGCTGCTGACCGTGTACGTGTAGAAGTCGTGTGTGTGTGTGTGTGGGCCGGGTAGCCTTTGAGCGGGCTAGTGAGGTGAGCGGTGTGTGTTGATGTGATGTGATGAATGAATGGTTGGTTTGTGACATGAATGAATGACCCGTTGCATGTCTGTCAACCAACGCATACACGCACATTGATGGCGGGAACGGATTGGAAGTGACTGCACATGTCAGACACATTGTCCATGCACATCAGACACACACATATACATGGACGGGTACACACATGCGATGTATTGCGACGGATCAATCTCTCCACCTCTACCACCCTCGCTCGTCTGCACGTACGTGTCTCGCGACCGATCAGTGTCACCACTCACCTGCACCAACAGGAAGGAAAGAAGACAGCCCGCCTGTCTGTCTACGGCCGCAAGCAACAAACGACAAACAAGACCCTCACAAACAACAAACTAACAAGAGCTAGCTAGCTAGCCGGCTACACACAAACATATACATACACACACATACACACAGACACATACGTACACACGTACACGCAGAGACACACGTATGCTGCGGGTCTCTTCTCTATACATTTTCCATTTATTTTGTATTTATGCGATGCGATGCGATGCGTTTGTCTGCCTGTTTGTGGAGGAGCGGAGGAGTTAGCTGGATTGATGATTTGATAGGAAAGGGCGAATTAGGACAAGGCCGTCGGTGGGGGGGTGTTTGCTGCTGCATGTGTTGCCGTGGCGTCGATGCGCGTCCACAAGTCGGGGCCGTGTTTCGTTACCATTTCTTTGAAGCGTAGAAGGCCATGAGGCGGGCGGGCGATGAGGGAGGCGATGGGCGTCGATCGAGAAGGAGATGAGAAGGAGGAGAAGGAGAGCTTGGGCGTCTGCACCTACGAGCAGGCCACAGACAGAGAGACAAGCAGAGACAGACAGACAGACAAAGAGTGGAAGACATATGAGATGTAACAAACCCTCTCTCCTGTCTCCTGTCTCCTGTCTCCTGTCCTGTCTGTCTTTCCGTGCGTACCTGCGCGTTGGAGAAGCCGCCACACCACGAACGAACGAACGAGGGAAGCCGCAAGCGACAAACGACAAACAAGACCCTCACAAACAACAAACTAACAAGAGCTAGCTAGCTAGCCGGCTACACACAAACATACACAGACACATACACACACACACATACACATACGTACACGCAGAGACACACGTATGCTGCGGGTCCCTTCTCTATACATTTTCTATTTATTTTGTATTTATGTGATGCGATGCGATGCGATGCGTTTGTCTGCCTGTCTGTGGAGGAGCGGAGGAGTTAGCTGGATTGATGATTTTGATAGTAAAGGGCGAATTAAGGGAGGAATCGGTGGGGGGGTGTTTGTTGCTGCATGTGTTGCCGTGGCGTCGATGCGCGTCCACAAGTCGGGGCCGTGTTTCGTTACCATTTCTTTGAAGCGTAGAAGGCCATGAGGCGGGCGGGCGATGAGGGAGGCGATGGGCGTCGATCGAGAAGGAGATGAGAAGGAGGTGAAGGAGAGCTTGGGCGTGTATTTCTTTTTGGACAGAAAGTTTGAGAGAGACGATGGGACTTTGGCGGTCTCGGCTTGTCGTCGACGGCGGCGCTACACACAGAATGTAACAGCACATACACCAACACACACACCAACACACACACACACAACAGTGAATGATTCATTGAATAGTCAGAATGAGGCTTCAGCCTGAGTACTTACCCCCCATGATTGAGTTGGTGATTTCTCGGCTGTTTCTCCTCCTTTTCGGATGAGCGAGCGTGTATCGGACTACACCCAACCCCCTCCACCTACCCTCATCC